AGGAGGAGCAAGAGGAAGAGGGGAAGTAAGAAGTAACAGTAGGAATACGGGGGTCGGGTGGAAAGCAGGAGGGAACATTCTTAGAGCTAGACAAACCTGATAGAAAACAAAAAGGAAGAAATGATCGTGCATCTGGTAACAAAAAGGCAAATGCTCATTCGAGATGCTCAGTCCCATAGGGAGAGCCAGGTACAATTATCTTTGGGAATGAGGGCAATAATTGCTCACAGTCCTAGATCTTCAACTAAGTGCATGGACGGGAGAGGGTAGGAAGTGGGGAGCAGGGAGGAAATACAGCCTCAATGTGTTTTCTAAGACAATCACAACTGTTCCCCAGATAAGAAGCTTAGACATTTCTCTTCAGTCACCCAAGCAACATGTAGGTACCTCGAAGACAAGAACCTGAGAGGCTGCCAGTCTCCCTTTCTGCCACCCACACCCCAGGAGAATCAGCCTGGTCCTTTTGGTTTTCCACTTGCTCTCTTGCTCCTGAGGGAGCTGTCACTTCGCACAACCTTCTGCCACCTTAACACCTGAATGGCTTCCGCTTATCTAATTTCAAGTAGTACCTACTACCATCTACAGTGAGGGGTGTCTATCCGCTGCCACCTGCCCTAGGGGACGGAGCCAGGAGGTTATAGTCTCGGGCAACAGAGCTGCAGATGCTTCGCTTCTCCAGCGCGCTCCGCACACAGACACCTGCTGGGGTGCTCCTGTCCTCAGGTGTATTCTCCAGCCCCCCACCTTTTCCAGACACAGGTCGGCATCAAGGCAACAGATCGCTCTTGTCTTGCCCCTCTTCCCAATTCTTATCCCCCACCCCACCCTCACCCGGCCAATTTGGAATTCAGACAGGGAGAGGAAGGGGCTGGTTCATAGCCAAGCTTCATCAGGCAGCTTTGGGGCAAGTTAAAACCCTGGAGACCGCGATCACAGCCCTGAGCTGGATTCTCCAGAAACGCTGAGAGTGCCGAAGTCGGGAAGTCTTTCCGTAAAAGGGGGCGCTCGCATACACAGCACCAAATGGTCTGGCCCGGCGCTTGCCCACCCCAGAAATGCCCCAGCCCCGGGCACTGCCGCGGGTTCCTCCACCCTCCTCGGCCCGTTCCTGCAACTCTTCAAGGCGTTTCAGCTGTGCCTGCCAGCAGTGCGTGTGAGCATTTGCTCAGCAACTTCCCTCCTCTACCTATGGGCACCCGATGCCCGAACTCGCCACGGTGGAGAGAGCCGAGGACGGCCCCCCTCCCCACACAGTCCTCACCGGGTTGTAAGCAAAATCAGACGAAAAAGGAAAAAAAAAAAGACAAATAAAAAGGTGCACCTACCTAAAGTCGAAGGCTCCTTGTCATGACAGGGGGACACTGGCATATGGACCCTTCGTGCCGATGCAGTGCCCGGGGCTGCCCGCACCTCTGGCGTTGCGGACAGCCTGAGCTCGCTCGCTCGGGTGAGCGGGGTCCCCGAGCGGGTCCCGGGCGCCGGCT